GCGTCGGTTAGGACCCGTTCCCCCGGGCCGGGTTTTCATCCTGGTCCGTTCTTTCACGGTCCCGAGACCCGGTGAGGGCCCCCAGGGGCCGAAGGTAGCATTTTTTTTGCCCTCGCGATTTTTTCAGGACGCGATGGGGTCCTCCTCCTCCTCCTCCTCCTCCTCCTCCTCCTCCTCCTCCTCCTCCCTCCTCCCTCCTCCATCTCCATGCCTTTTCCATACAAATAACTCCTCCCTGTCGCACCCCGAGGCCAGTCGAAAGGGGCGGGCCAGGCGCTTCGTTTGAGACTTCCTCGCAATTTGTGACCCTTGACCTTAAACATTGACAACAGCTTCACAGATGGAGGGCGGGTGGTTTTCAAACTGTGGCTCTCGCCTCAGCGTCGCGCACATCCATTCAGGGGTCTTTTCGACTCCTCCAGCTCGAATCGAACCTATTTCCACGGCTGCCGATTCGAACCGACTCGATCCGGAGACTCCGATTTGCGATTCCGATTTCGACTTCGCCCAGTCCGACTCCTGCCGATACGATCTGGCAGCCGGCTTCGGCCGATTTCCTGCCGATCCGGCTGCGTGCCGACGCCCTCGCTGGGGAGGGTCCGTGGAGGGGCCTGGGGAGGCCGCGGACGGGCGCCTTCCTCGTGGCCACGGCCGGACCCACCTCGAAGTTCTTGCCCAAACGCACCCTGTGGGGGAGGGGGCAGCACGGGAGGGGACGGTGGGAGGGGACAGCGGAGGGGATGGGGAGGGCACAGTGGAGGGGACAGTGGGAGGTGACAGCACGGGAGGGGACAGTGGAGGGGACAGTACGGGAGGGCACAGTGGAGGGCACAGTGGAGGGGATAGTACGGTAGGAGGCGGTACGGGAGGGGACAGTACGGGATGGGACAGTGAGAGGGGACCGTACGGAAGGGGACAGTGGGAGCATTGTCCCCTCCCACTGCCCCCTCCCACTGTGCCCTCCCGCTGCCCCCTCCCGTACTGTTCCCTCCCACTGTCCCCTCCCACTTGTCCCCTCCCGTACTGTCCCTCCCACTGTCCCCTCCCACTGTCCCCTCCGACTGTCCCCTTCGTACTGTCCCCTTCCACTGTCCCTTCCACTGTCCCTTCCCGTACTGTCCCCTCCCACTGTTTTCTCCCAGTGTCCCCTCTGACTGTCCCCTCCACTGTCCCCTCCACTGTCCCCTCCCACTGTCCCCTCCCATACTGTCCCTTCCACTGTCGCCTCCCGCTGTCCCCTCCACTGTCCCTCCTTTACCCTCCCGGCCTTCCGATTTCGATTCTGATCTGGCTTGCCGTGATCCGGTTTCCGATTCGATCCGACTCGGCCCTGCCGACTCCTGCCGATTTCGATTTGGCTGCCGACTTCTGCCGACTTCTGCCGATTCGATATTCGGGTCGATCCGATTCGACTTTCAGATTCGATACTGGGGCCACCTGCCATTTGAGCATTTGCAATAACTCCGCGGATTAAGGGCGGGTCGTTTTTTACATGCGGCTCTCGCCTTAGCGCCGCGTGCGTTCGTCTTAAAATATTGCAAGAGTTTCGCGGAATGTGGGCGGATGGTTTTCAACATGTGGTTATCGCACTGGCGCCGCGCACATTTGTCGGAATAAACATTTGCATGAGTTGCACGGATTGTGGGCAGTCTCTGTTCAACATGTGGCTCTCGCTTAAGCGCCGCGCGCATTTGTCTTCAACATGCCATAACTTCACATTTTGAGGGTGGCTTGTTTCAAAATCTGACTCGCTTTAGCGCCGTGCACATTCGTTTTAAAAGTTTGCAAGAGCTTCACATATTGAGGGCGGCTCCCTTTCAAAATGCGGCTCTCGCATTAGCGCCGCACACACTCATGCCAACCAATCGGAACAGGTTCATCAATTGCCATGGTTAACGCACCAACCGACTCATGATTGTCAGGTCTTAGGCTTACACCAGTCCTCCTCCTCCTCCTCCTCCTCCTCCTCCTCCACCCCTGCTCCTTGTGACTATTTCCTCCCTGTCGCACCCCGAGGCCAGTCGGAAGGGCGGGCAGGGCGTTTCGCTTGAGGCTTCCTTGCCACTTGAGAGTCTGAAGCCTAGAAGCTTGCAACAGTTTGGCAGATGGAGGGCGGGTGGTTTTCAAACTGTCGCTCTCGCTTCAGCGCCGCGCATATTCGCTTCCACACATTTGCAAGAGTTTCACGGATTGAGGGCAGTTTTTGTTCAACATGTGGTTCTCGCCGTAGCGCCGCGCACATTCGTTTTACAAGTGTGCAAGAGTTTCGCAGGTTCTTATGGTTACCGTACCAGAAATGGTGTTCTGGAGCGATTCAAGATTCCCAGGGCGCAACAGTTACGTCGATTCGCGGCGTTCGAGTCCCAGGAATAGTTTCTGGCACGATTCAGGATCGCCAAGACGAAACAATCAGGTTGATCCGTGGCGTTGAAGTCCTGAGACTGGTGTTCGTGCACGCTTCAGAATTTCACACGGTTATCTCCCAACGGGGCACTTCCATTAGTGGAAATCAATTCTAGTTGGAGCCTATGAAGAGGGAGTTTTGGGGGAGGGTGTATTCCAAGATCGTTGATGAGTCTCGAGTTTACAATGGTCCTCCTCCTCCTCCTCCTCCTCCTCATGCAGGAGTGAAGCAAGACTGTGCACGACACCAACCCCCCTGGGCAACTCCAGCCCCCCTGAGCAACTCCAGCGCCTCCTTCTCCTCCCAATCCTTTCCGTCCTCCTCTTCTTCCTCCTCCTCCTCCTCCTCCTCCTCCTCCTCCTCCTCCTCCTCCTCCTCCCCCTCGCTTGTTGACGCGACCCTTCCGTCGTCCCCCCTCAGCTCCCGACAGGCCAAAGTACGGTGGGCGCGGCAGAACGACCCGGCCTGCCGCGGCATGGCGGAGGGGCTGGGCGTTGGGGGCGCAGTGGGCGGGGGCAGGCAGCGGAGGAGGAGAAGGAGGAGGAGGAGGAGCAGGAGGACGGGGAGGGAGGAGGAGGAGGAGGAGAAGGAGGAGGAGCAGGAGGAGGAGCAGGAGGAGGAGAAGGAGGAGGAGGAGGAGGACGGAGGAGGGAGGAGGGAGGAGGAGGAGGAGGAGGAGAAGGAGGGTTCTCAATTCTCTGCTGCTGCCTGGTCTGGCTTCTTTTTCCTTTGGGAGAGGAGCTCCCACAGGGGTCTGTTGTGCGATGGCTTCGCTTTGCTTCTGCATGACCCACCCTTTTGGGATTTGAAGTGTTGAACGGGGCGAGCGAGGTTCGAGGCTTTGGCGTGTTTTCGTTGGTTCCTGGCTGTCTTCCGGCTTCGGAGCGCGTTCAAGCAGCTGCGCCTTGCCGATGGCGTTCCGGGGGTGCCCGGATCGTTCAGACTGGCCGCAGGAGACCAGAGTTATGGCCCGAAAATGGAACAACTTAAGAGCAGGGGGACTGACTGACTGATTGAACGCCTGCGATCCACGACCTGCTCCGTAGCTCAACAAAGGAACGAAACCACTTGACACGCCTGCTGGATCTGCGAAGCTCCTGCAACCGTAGAGAGAGCGTGCCCGGCCTGGCTGACAGCATGGACACCTCCAACGGAAAACCGGCCCGCCTGCAGCACCGTCCCATTCACGCGCTGTTCTCAGGGAGATGCCCCCCCAGCTGCAAATCCGACCCACGTTCCACCTGATATCCATCATCGTCGTGATCCGAGGGGACTGCAACAGGGGGAGGCGGGGCAATTAGGATGCAACATGGCTGAGGGGATGCAGCAACTGGCAACGTCAGTGATCATCTGGCCGAGCTTGCTCGAGCGAGCCTGCAAGTGCGCGAAATCATAAGAGAGCTGGACGGGTCCTGCCTCCGAGACGTACTCCCGAAAAGTTTTGTCACAAAATCAGTATTCGAGCACGGGCTTACCCACTCGAGCTTGCAAAACCATCAAGCTCTCCTAGGTTTTTTTGCCTTGCCCAGATAATCGGGAGCATCCTTTCAGAACCGTTTATATTGACCAAAGTGGCAGGCCTCACTGGGGGACGGGGTTCGGGTTCGCCTAGGACTCGTCGTCGTCGTCCTCCTCCTCCTCCTCCTCCTCCTCTCCTCCTCCTCCTCCGAGAGCCTCCTCCTCCTCCCCCTCCTCCTCCTCCTCCTCCTCCTCCTCCTCCTCCTCCCCGTCCTCCTCTTGCCATCCACGGCGCCTCGAACGAAGCTGCAGCCTGGAGGCTGAGACTGCAGCGGCAGAATAATATTACTGGAACAAGGCCTTGACCAGGTCCAAATCGAGAGTCACTCCCACTTTGTCGGGGTGCTTCCCTTGCCTGATTTTGCTCCAGTTGCGATTGCCCGTGATGGTCGGTGGTTTGCAGGATTTGCCCAAGTTAAGCACCTGAGCTCCCGACGAATACGACCGACACTTAAGGCAAAATAATATGTGCGAATTATCGCTGGCCTCCAGCGCGATGACACGATGCTGGAGCCGATCCAAAACTACACTGTCAAGTTTGCTGTGGCCTCTGCACGACCCAGCGACAGGGACGGAGTGAGTAGATCCCTTCAAACAGACTCTGCAACGCCAGAAACCTGACATGTGAGCCCACCGATGGGATCCCTCGCAGCTGCAGGAGGAGCAGGAGGGGGAGGAACACGCTCCAACCCACGAAACTCCACACGAGGAAACAAGGGAAGGACAGCAGCTTCGAGGTCCATGACACAACGAGCGATCTTGACCTTCAAATCAACAGCTTCCAGGTCTCCTGCACAAAACTGGGGGTGCCAATTAACAGCACGCTTGGCCCCAGCATCTGCAAGGAAGTTACCCTGTCGGATGAAGCGCTCATGAGCGCTGATCCCCGACTCGTCAACGTCCTTGTGAGCATCTACCTTACAGAGGCTGGAAATCTTGGAGCCCGCTCCCGACACTCCGTGGATGAACAGCCCAGAGTATTGGAGCTTGGGCGACAGAAACCTACCAGGGCCCTGGAGGAACAGGCCGACCACATTATTACCGTCGCTGTAGCAAACCGCGCTCGACCCCAGGGAAAAATTAAGGCCTCCAACCGCCCCAAACTCAGCGGCCTGGGGAGTTTGGGGGTACGGGGCCCAGACTGGGGCCGTTATTTCACACAAGAGGTTGGCTTTATCATCCGTCATGGCCAGGCACCAACCCGAACGGGAAAGCTCAACAACAGGGTGCTTAAAACAATTGCCGTCCAAGAAAACGTGCCCCCAGAGACCGAGGCCAGGATGGGTATCCACAGGGCCAGGAGATCCTGGGGGCTCAGCTTCGGGGACCACCCACTCGACGTGAACAACTCCATCAGACGAAGGCCTGGGAAGCTCATCTTCTGGGTGCTTGAAGGCTCCATGGACGAACAGTGGGTACTCGTAGTCATCTGACTCCACGTCCTGAGCCAGCGTAAGGATGTCAGCTGGCACAATCGGTTCGCGCTCAGCAGCACAAGCAGGACACTGCCAAAGCCTATGCCAGAGCGTGTCGTCGCGCCGACCGCACAGACCACAGACCGAGGGGACGTCGTAACCAGCCTTCCTGGCGGCCACTCCCGTCCAGATGGCGTTGCTGGCTAAGGCCCTCATGGTGGACTTATCCTTGTAAGAGACCTTGCTGGGCCTAAGCTTGGCACGAACAATATCCCAGCACAGGCGATGAGGAACCCCAAACTTAGGGCCCGAGTCTCTTTCCAAACCCCTAAAGGCGGCCTCCTTGGCCAGCTGGCCGACCAACCTCGGAGAAAGAATGAGCAAGTTGAGGAGGTGCCCCCTGTCGTCAACGCACTCACAGAACGAGGACATGGTCCAACCCAGCCTATACAGGGTCACCCTGAGAGCACTGAGAGGCCCAGAGACCTGAGCCCAAGACCAGTCATCCCGAGAAAAACCACGCTCCAAGCCTGCCTCAGAAGCCCACAGGAGAGAGACCCAGCAAACTGTCTAGTTTGGGTGAGCCACAGCTCCTTGGCATATCGAATGAGGGGGGCGACGCGCACTCTCCAGGGGGGGTCCCCTTCAGCAACGAGATCACCGTGAGCGAGCGGTGTTGCGACTTAGGAGATATCGGGGACATACCGAGGGAGCGAAACTGGTGCAACTCCCTATCGCTGATGCCAAAAACCTCCGCACCGTAGGCGCCGCTCGCCAGGGGGCCCGCGGTGAAAATGCGAAGAGACTTCCTCCCCAGAGCGCCCTTAAATTTCTGAAGGCGTCGGGTCTTCCTTTGGGCGAGCGCGATGCGCTCCTTAAACTTGCAAGATTTCCCGTGTTTAGATCCTCGCGCACGCAGCGCCCGACCCGCAGTGTAGTCCACACCTAAGTTGACCACGGCTGGGGCTGCAACGCCTGCGAGCTCGCCCAAGTGCAGCTCGAGCTGCTGGGCTACCCAATTGTTGCTGCTCACCAGGCCGATCTTGCCCATGGCCAGGGAGCAACCTAAAACTTCGGTGATGGCCTGATGCAGGCCGCGAGCACTAGAGACTAAGCCTGCAACAACATCTTCCGGAGAACCAGTCCTGGACAAACCCGTGTCGTCAATGTAAGCATCGAAACCGGTGCCAATTTGGAGGGGAATATCGTCGAAAGCAGACAGGGCGAACACTCTGATGAAGCTGGTCGCCATAGAGCAACCAGCAATGACGCCAGAGAGGGCCCAGTATGGCCCGTCCAAGATGCCTCCCAAGGACAGGTACCGCACAGACCTGTACGCCTCAAGGCAAACCCTGGTGATGCAACGAGGAAAGCAATGGCGCCTACACCGATGCTCCAACTACTCAAGAGAGATGCTCTCGTAATATTTCTTCATGTCCCAGAAAATGGAAGCAGACGCAAGCTTGGGGGCCACTCCTGATTCAGCCTTGACGGCTTGGCGCCAGACGACGTCCGCCGCGCCTCGGTGAGCACCTGCAGCGCAGTAGGCTCTGGGATGATCGAATTCCCACTGAAGGGCCAGATGGCGACGGGCCCTGCCCCACAGACGGTACCAAGAGACAAAAACACCGATCGGACGGAAGCCCCCAGAGGCCTTGCCCAGGAGGGCCAGAAGGACCACCGAGACCTGGGGAGGAAGACGACCGATGGATTCGACAACCCACATCATCCCAGCCAGAGCCTCCAGAGCAGCGTCACTCAGGAGGCTGTAGTGACGGAGGTGGAATCCATCCACCGACGCAGCGCTGGCCTTCCTGTACGAGCGGCTGAGCTTCCTTAGTTCGTCGGTCGAGAGCTGGGGCAGGGCCTCAATGATCTCCACGAGGCCCTCCCCAGGGCCAGCACCAGGACCCCGCAGCTGGCTGAATTTCAAACCTTCGGCCTGCAAAAGAGAACGCGGATCAGCGCGAATCCAGCCGTGGCTAACCAGGGTGATCGAAGCTTTCCAAGGCACAGGGCCCCGCAGAGCAAGATGGGCTCTTTTTCCTCCTGAATCAAGCCCCTCCTGGAGCCAGTCCTTCCAGGCAGCCCTGCTGCGCGCGACCGCATCCGACTTGGCCCTCGCAGCGAGCGGCGAAGTATCGCCCTGAAGGAGGACTTCACAGTCCTGGAGAAACTGATCAGGATCAGAAGCGTCTAAGCAAGCCGCCCTGCGAAAAAGGCCATCATGCGCAGCAGCTGCAACTGCAGCAGATGGAGGAGGCGCCTTGAGAGCGTTGACGATCAGCGTGACCTTACCCTCACATCTCCCACAAGCCTTGAACTCAGCCACAAGGGCCCGCACCTGGTTCGCAAGCCAGCGAAGGCCACGCAGGAGAGCGTCCTTGGGGGGCTTCAGGGGCTTGACAATATTTTTCCAATAAGTTTCCACCGGCTTGCCTCGGGAGCCGTGATGGGGCAGATCACATCCAATCAAGCGCTCGAGGTCAAGCTCGGCCAGATCGGCCCACAGCTGGTACAGGACAGGCAAAAGGGCGAGGGCACCATCACCATCGCCTCTCGAAATCGCTTCCTTGGACTCCCTCACACAATCCAACACTCTGGTCCAGTCTCCATCCCTAAGTTCAGGAGCTGGCCCGAACGGAGGCGACGGAGGCAAAGGAGGCGGCTTCCGAAAGGCAAGAGCTTTAAGATACAGCAGCTGGGGGTGAAAGCTCATGCCCACAGGCCTGTGCGGGTGCAACGAGGAGCCCCCCGCCACATTGATGCTGCGAATACCTGTGCCCAGACCCCCCGAGACCACAAAGTAGTCAAAGACGTCAGGTTGCCCCTGGGAGGGGAAATGGGTGTTACCAGAAGTGCAAACGAGATGGGCCCCCCCAACTCGCACACTAAACCAGACGAGTGCAACACTTGAGGGTTGAAATTGAAATCGCCTGCCACTATGAACTCGCAATCTATGTTGGTCAGAAGCTCCCCCAGCTTGGCCAAGACCCCTGAGTTGGTCGAGTCAAGGCCGACCGAGTGCTCCAAGTAGAGAGAATAGAGACAGACGGGAGGCGAGGCAGGCGCGTGCACCATGCAAGCCTGGACCCTACCGTCGCGCAAGTTGCCCCCGTCCGCCTCGTACAGGCCTAGCCAATCACGAGAGAGAATCACGACGCCAGAGCTATCACCACCCTGCGGGCCAGGAATCCCTGGCATCCAGATCGACTTCCATCCCAAACGAAGACAACTCGACGAAGCCCGTGCCAAGGCCTCAGGGTCCCGAAGACGGTGCTCTTGAACCAGAAGAACGTGTGCATCAGGTTCAGACTCCAGGAGGTCCAGGAGGGTGCCCCAGGAGTTCGCATTAGCCGTCCAGATAGTGAGAGCGACAGCTTCAGACAGGGCCAGGACCTGGGGGGACCGCGGACCTGGGACCTCGGACCCTGGAGACAACATGGCGGGCGTCAGGGGCACTGGCTTCGACTGCGCAAACGAGGGAAACAAGAAAGGGCAGACACCCTTTGCTCGTTTGCTGGCGCGACGCGTGCAGCGGCAGTGCAACGGCGGCACGACCTGGGACTCCATCCAGTCACAAAGGTCGCGAATGACGGGATCGGCTCCAGCACCAGCAACGAATTTGTTACAAAGCACAGCGAGCTCTGGCAGCGACAGCGGAACGTCAGCCCCAGCAGCCCTTTGCCCTGACAGTTGTTTTTCAAAGCCTAGTCCAGCGCCAGGAGGTGACGAGGTGGTCCCCAGGAACCGAGCTCGGGACTGTCCCGAAAGCCTCGCACCAGCCAGTCCACAAACTGGATGCGAAGCGCAAAAGAGAAAGCCAGAACCTACAACTTCTGCAAGATGAAGCCCAGCCTCACGAAGGTCAACAACACGAAGTCATCCCACATGACACAGACACTGTGCCGAAGGCGAAGGAGAGCTCGAAATACTCGACGGCAAGACCCAAGCATACTCGGCATCTCCAGTGCCTATCGGCGAGCGAACCAAGGTAGAAGAAGACAGCCAGCTGCGCACACGTGTGTCTCGTAGCTCCTCCTCACTCCGCCACTGACTAAGCGGAGGGGGAGGCCCCTGACAGCTCTCGAGCAACTCTGAAACGAATATCCTCTTGAACCCCAGGCGCCTCTGGAACATGGTCGGCACCTGTAGGCTGCTGCGATTCGCCTGAGCCCTCAGCACCGGGAGCGGCTGACGGGTTGCTGTCATCGCCAGTAGGAGCCTCAGCAGCACCAGCCGCGGCCCCGTCCTCGGTCTTACTCTTCTTCCCCGTGAGTCTTCGCTTGTGGTCCTCGTGGCTGGCTTTGGCGGCAGCAGAGGCTTCCAGAGCTCCCTTGAACAGCTTGGAAGCGAGCTCCTGGATGGCGTCGGAGAGAGTCTGCTCGCACGCCTGCAGCTCCTTCTCGTCATCGGCTGAGAGCTCGAACTCCTCAACCTCCTTCTGAACATTGAAAAGACTGTCCAAGTTGAAAAGAGACCCGAAGGCAACCTTACCTTCGCAGAGGTCCTTGATGACCACCTGCAGGGTGCCGACAGGGCCAGTTGGAAGAGTGGCAGATGCCATCTCCTTGGCCACGGACTGGTAGGTTTTGTCAGCCTCTTCCAACTCCGCCTCGCACTGCAGCACCAGGGCCTTCTGCTCCTCGAGCTCGGCACGCCAACGGCGCAGCTTGCCGAACTCATGCTCCAGCTTCCTCTCCTTCCTCTTGATGTCGGCTGCCACCTGCTGCGCACGCTGATGAGGAGGTACAACCAACTCCTTGGACTTGGCCGCCAGAGAGGACGCAAGCTGCTCGTAGTACCTGAAACCCGGCAGGTCACCCGCCTTCTTCGAGAGCTCGGCCAGGGTGGTCGCCTCACGCACCGCGAGGTCAGGAACAGGGCCAGGAGGGAGAGCTGCAGCAGCGCCACCACGATGGCCGTCGCCAGAGCCCTCGCCCTTGCCATTGCCCTTTTTGCCCTTGCCCTTGCCCTTGTCAGGGTCAGCTCCTCCTTTGCCGAGCGCACCACCGACATCATCTCCACGGCTCGCCCACTGCCCGCCAGGCGGCTTGGGCTCGACAGGGGAGACATGCGACAATGGAGGCTGGCAGTGCTTGCACCAGGAGACGTGAGCCAAATTTTTACGGCAGCCACAGACCCCACAGGGAATCGAGCCGAACTTGCCACCACGCCCGCGACCCTTGAGCTGCCAAGCCTCGGACTCTGCGCCTTCGGTGTACACCCAAGGACGACGAGCAGAGACAGGCGGCACCATCGGACCTGAGCGAGAGGGGCCAGGAAGTACCGTAATAGGAACGTTGTGAAAGAGAATCCAGGCGGGCGGACGCCTGGGAAAACAGTGGGGGCCGCGCAATCCCCCTCGCCAACAGGCCAGTCACAGAGCAAAACGCTACGGACTTGAGCCAAAATGGCTACGGACCCCCCCTCTCCTCCTCCTCCTCCTTCTCCTCCTCCTTCTCCTCCTCCTCCTCCTCCTCCTCCTCCTGCTCCTCCTCGGGGTCCCTGGTGTGTTTGTCCGTCCGCGCCGCCGAAAAGCCCATCTCGCGAAGCAACTTCTCCGCGTCGCGCTCCAAGGACCCCTCGGGAGCGGATCCCGCCTTGATGCCGCCCTGGCCGCTGATGGTGAGACCGATCGCCGTGTCGACCGTGTACAGCTTCTCGCCCTGGTGTCCAGTGGTGTTCGCCTGCGTGTACGGAGACATCACGAGCTGCAGCTTGCCACGAGTGGCTTTGGCGCTCTCCGCCGTCTTTCAGGAGGGAGAAAAGCACAGACACAAGTAATCGTCGATTCCCAGGAAACTGGGAAAATGTGGGAAGTGGGGGGAAGGCAAAAACCTAGAATTGGAACACATGGGGAATCTGGTTATTTGTATCTTTTTATTTGTGTGTCCCAGGGCCCCTTCATCCCGGCCGCACGACCAGGAGTCGTGGATGTGACAGTACTTCACTTGGCTCTGCGACAGCAGGCGGTCTCAGTATAACTCCAGTGTCAGGCCAACTTTCTCGTTGACGGGCGCCGCCAGGGGCGCGCAGTGTGCTGCGGCAGCCCAGGGACAATTTGCGCGGCCGCGGAGGTCCGACGGTGTGGTTCTTTCGCGTGCCCGCCCGATCTGCCCGTCTGGTTCTGCCACGTGTTTTCTGCTCCTGCCCCCCCCCTGCTAATCTCGGGGGTGGACCCCCACCCCGACGCGTCGATGAGTGAATTGTCCGTTCTCGGTTCTCGAGAGGGCAGCGCGGCCGTCATTTTCCAGGCTTGCGCCCGCCAGGTTTTGGCCCAAGGTCGTTTTCATGAAACCACGTTTTGCTAAAGTGAGTTCTGTCCATCCCCGATAATCCCGTGGTCCATCCTTCTCCCTCCCTCTTCCATCCGTCCTCGCCTCCCTTGTTTTTGGGGCTGCACCAAATACAAGCGGCAGGTGAGGAAGATATGTTCCCAAGGGGGTACGATCAAAGTCGAAGAGAGCGGGGATCGAGGGTTTGTGATATACGTGTGGAATGGCACGCGGGCAGATAGCAGCGAACAGTCTTGAAATCATTGTTGTTGCTGCTGCTGATGTTGATGTTGCCGTTGATTCTGAAGCAGCAAGCAAGTATCATTCCGCCGACCCCCCAGAAGAGAGACGAAATCGACGGTGAGGCCTTTTGGGACCTCTTGTTGGAGTCCTGGGCGCGTCTCTGGCCTTCTGGGGAGTTTCTTGGGCGTCGCTGGCGGTGTGGTCCTCCTGCGGCGGAGGGCTCAGAAGGTTCGTTCGGGTTACCTCTCTTGGGCTTCTCTTGGGGCCCTGCTGGGGCCCTCTTGGACCATCTTCCGCACCGCTTCGGCTGTTTGGGGGGCCCTCTTGGGGGCTGCCTGGGCCGTCGTGGAGCTATCTTGGGGACCTCTCGAGCCGTCACGGACGCTGCAAAGACCAAGAATGCGAATACGCTCAACAGTTGTTGAACCGAGGGGATGGGACGATTCTTGCGCCTTGGGGCTTCCTCTCGGCAGTCCTGAGGCCATCTCGGTCGTCGTCGAGGACTCCTCCGGATGTTGGATTCCAGCGTGCGGGAGAAGTGCGAGGTGTGTGGTGCCATGGTGTATGGGAGGGCTCCCCGGAGGCTTTTTGGCGGCCCGGAGGCCCCAGGGGAGCTCGTATCCCCTCCCCCCCCCTTACATTCCGTTTTGGACACCCGCGGAAGGGGGAAAGGGGGACGAGGACAGCATAATGTCTCATACGCTTGCTCACCCCTGGCACGCGGGGGTTGGCGGATGACGGGAAGCGTCTTCGAGGAACGAGAAGCGAGCTGGACGTTTTGGCTGAATCCTCGTCATATCAGTAAGAGATCTCTTAACTATAGGGGGTGGCGCGCTGCACGGTATGGAAGCTTAGCGGATTCCTCGGGATGGCGATTTTACGTGAGACATCCTCGCAAAAATGAAATCTTCGCGACATCGCGTTTAACAAAAACAAGCGTTTCGCTCGAGACATCCTCGAACAGTTGATGACAGCGAAATTTCGCCGTCTGTGAAAATTTGCGTTTCGCTTGGGACATCCTCGAAAAAATGAGATGACGACTGAAGTTTTTAACTAACTCTTATGTTAAGAATTGCGATTTCGCTAGGGACATCCTCAGAAAACGAGCGGCAGCACGGCGGACCAGAACGAAGAGCACGGCAGAAAATTTGCATTTCGCTAGGGACATCCTCAACAAAATGAGATGTCCTCAACGTCGTCTTGATATCGTTCTCGAAGTACCTCAAGATGACGAAATGAGAGGCCAAAAAGCAGGTCAAGATGGTTGTCAGAACGATTGGGGGACTTCCGAAAATAGCGATTTCGCTAGGGACATCCTCAAAAAGTGAAGACATACACCAGCATCGACTTGAAAACTGTTGTTCTTACATAGTTTTGACTTTGCTTCTGAAAAGGCTTCCAGACGGCCCAAGGCAGCCTTCAACAAATGTCGATTTCGGTAGGGACATCCTCACAAAATTGATGCGTGCGACATCGCATCGTAATGATTTTCGGAGGGCATCAGGAAGCAAAAGAAGGCCACAACATGGCTCCAAGAGCGCCCTTAAGGTTGCTGAAAATAGTGAGTTCGCTGGGGACATCTTCGCAAAAATAACACATCGAACAACATCGTTTTGAAAACTGCTGTATTAACATCGTCTGGGGATCGCTCCTGAAAAGGCTTCTAGATGGTTTAAGCCAGTCATCTAAAAATGACGATTTCGCTACTAGGGACATCCTGAAACAATGAATGTGTGTAACATCGGACTGTAACGGTTTTGTAAGGCGTCAACTGGCTTGATTTAAGGCGAAAATAGGTTGAGTCGGTTGAGTGTTTTTAGGTTTTTGCTGGTTTTTGATGCCGACGACGATTGTAATGATGGTGGTTATCAAATCGTAGTGCTGATGGTGGTGGCGATGGTGATGGTGATGATGGTGGTGCTCATCACATCCAGAATCACCATCATCACCATCACCATCATGACCATCACAACCGCCCGCACCATACCATCATCACCATCCCCATCGTCATCATCATCATCACCATCATCACCATCCATACCATCAGTATCGCCATCACCATCGTCATCATCATCATCATCATCATCAGTAGGACTTGGCTCAAGCGGACGGCGGACGACGACATTATTAAATAATGTCGTCGTCCGCTGGGGCGGTTTCCCCGAGCCCTCCAGCCTCGTCGCCCCGTCTTTTTTCGAGGGCAGCTTCGCCGAGCCATGCTTCTTCTTCGAGGGCAGCTGCTTCGCCGAGCCCTGCGTCTTCTTCTTCGAGGGCAGCTTCGCCGAGCCCTGCTTCTTCTTCGAGGGCAGCAGCTTCGCCGAGTTCGAGTCCGAGCCCTGCGGCCGCGTCGAGGGCAGCTTCGCCAAGCCGTGGCAGCTGCAACAGCTCGGACGAAGAATCGGCCGTGGCAGTTGCAACAACTGCCGTGGCCGCTGCCGACGCAGCGGGCTCCGAAGAGGACAGCGGCTCCAACAGCGGCTCCGAAGAGGACAGCGGTTCCGAAGAGGACAGCGCCCCGAGCAAAGTAGTCGAGAAGTTCTCGCCTTCGTTGTCCATGACCCTGGAGGAGCACGTCGCCAGTCACGACTACCCAAAGCACGTCTCCACCTGCGGCGCTGGCAAATTTTGGAAGAACAAGGATAAATGGAGCTCCTCGATGTCTGCGACGAATCCAGTAACACTGAAGAGTGAAACTTGGATAGGCTGCGTTGGTGGTAGATTTGCAGTCTGCTTGTTCTGCTCGGCGTTCAAGGGCGCTCGCTGCATTTCCACCATGGGCCAGGGATCCGCGAGTTTCCAACGCAAGGAACACCTCGTGCGCCATGCACAGTCCGAGGAGCACCAGGCAGCAGAAGCGGCGTGGAAAGAGCGGATTCGAGCGGAAGGTGCGCACCAGGGTCTCCCCGTGTCTGTGTTCTCCACAACGGCTGCTGCATCAGCTGCAGCAGCTGCAACAGCCGTGGCGCTTGCGCCCGCCGTCGTCCGCGACGCCGACCAGCGCCCTGGTTGCCGCGCAGCGGTCGCCACCCGTGCAACGTTGGAGACAACCAGTTCCTTCAGTAGTTTCGACGTGTGGCGGGATGCGTTCGTTGGGGGCGACCGTCAAGTTTTGGAGTCTAGACGGCAGCGCCGAAGGCTGGTGACCACCATGGCTCAGCACGAGAAGATCATCACGCAGAGGATCCTCAGACATGGTGCTGTTTTTCGTTTGGCTGCGGACGGCCTCGACCGCACGTGCCAGGTCGAAATTGGCACCGCGCTGTGGTCGATCCCGGAGGCTTTGGACTTCCCCCAAGCTACGGTCTCCAGGCAAGCTGGTTGGAACAGCTGGGCCCCAGAGGGCCCTGGATCGTGGATCGGGTGATCGGGATGCGGGAGTTCCCGCGGGGCATGGACTGCGACGGCAAGGCTTCCATGCTGGAGGAGTGCGTCCGTCGCGCGTGCCAGACGGCAGGCGGGGAGGTGGACGGGGACTTGCACAAGCATGTGCGACAGGAGACTCGGGCATGGCGCAGCGATGGGGCGGATCTAAGTGCACCCGCCACGGCTGCAACAACTACGTTCCCTGGGCTGAAGTTTCACGCGTGGGGCGAGTCTCACTCGCCCCAGAAGGTTCTGGTCAATTCGATGAAAGAAGACAGCGAGATAACGACCACGGACGAGCTGCTGGTGACGGGTAAGAAGCCGCCAAGTCTGGCCGAGTTCCTGACTACCTCCACCGTGTTCCGCAACACATTCGGGAAGCGGCAGCTGGTGGAAGACGACGCCACGTTCGTCAAACACTTCGGCTGGGCCCCCCAGCGTTTCAACAGTCGGGCGAGGCCCTATGCACGGGGAAGTCGGCGTTGGGAAGCCATTTTCGAGGCGCTCGCAGCGGAGCCCCAGGGGAATGACAAAGATCGGCGCGTTCTCGCCCGAAATATTCTGGAAGGGCTCGGGGGCGAGAACAGTTCGCGCCTGCTCCTGGGGGGTTGCTGGCCGACTTGAGCGCGGAGCACTACTCCTGGGTCGCCGCCGGAGACAAGAGCAACCCCGACGCTGCCAGCGTTCAATCCAGGGCACCCGCTTTCCTCTCCAAGCTGGATACATTGTTCGTCAAGGGGAATATTCTGGCCATCCCCGACACGTTTACTGGCGTCACCCTCAAGTTTCTGAAGGTCACGAGGCGGTTCATGTGCGGCACTGGC